TACAATGCGAATAGTCCGAAACTTACCTTGTAAAATCTTACGATCCTGAAATAAGCCTTTGATCCGTTGCCGCTGTTTCCAGTGGAAGTTCATTGAACTCGAATTTTGTAGAAAATCACAAATTTTCTCACGTAGAAAAACCTACGATCGTCTTTACGGTCGCTTACGTGATTAAAGATAAAAGCTATACTGGCGTAAACCCGTCCCCCCCCCCTCCCCTTTCGTGTACAATCGTTTTGGATCGATGCATAATTTTGTGGACGCTTCTCCTCCATTTTCTTTCTTTTTCTCCCTTACTCTCTCTTTCTTCCTCTGTTTTCGCGAAGCCACGAAAAACCTGCTGCAAGAAAACGGATGTGTTTTACGTTAGGTGTAAATTTCGCTCGCGCTTCTCAAAACGAGGGAAACGGCGTACACCACACACCACCCTACCTACTCTGTTCCGGCCGACGGTGCGCCAAATTAAACTCGCAGATAAAGAACCTCCGTGCATAAGCCCGCGGACGTTTCACGGAAGACGAACAATCGGGGTTACATCGTGCGCACACGCGTTTCGTCCTACCGCCAAGGTCCGGCTTAGCGGTATAGACTTTGACATTGTTGCGCACCCCCGCGGCACAATGGAGGAGAGACAGTAGGGGTGTTTCGCAGAATTACGCACGAACAGTAGACGGGTTAGGTCGCGGTAGGGCCATTGTACCATCTCTCCCAGTGTGTTACAGCGAAATGTTCGCGCCGTTCGAACGCTTTCTATCCCGATATAACTTCATTTTCATAAACACGCACACTTCCTTGCGCCTCGGAATTGCGCAACCTCGGCCCCGACGGGCTGATTCGGGTACGACCGGCTGGTGGTGATCCCGTCTAAGTTTATAACCGCATCGCGGTCGCGCTTGAGTTTGCTTTAGCCGTGACACGTGCTCGTCGACGGACGCGAACGTGATCAACCTCTCTCGATCGAAACTGCTCCTAACGCTGAGGATGCGCTCGGCCATTAGGCAGATTTTGTCGAGAGGCAGATCGCCCTTGTTTATTTGTAACGGGAAATAACAGAGAAGATGGACAAGCGAGTTTATCTGTCAAAAATCGATTTATCTCAAACGTCAGTGGAATAATTAAGTTACAAGTGATATAAGTAAACTTCAAAGGATATAAAATTACATATTTATATATTATAACGGAAAAAATCATTGACATCGTGGTGCAGTAATTTTTGTCTGTTCACTGCTCTGTTGCACCTACTCCACAATATTCTACGTATATTATTTTTGAAATTTATTTTATCTCATAAATCCCGGGCTCTCCCGGTTGCAAGGCACGTGGACGCAGACCGCGGAAGAGTAGCGAGGGTGGCAGCATCCCCGACTCTAGCGACGTTTATCGAATTTTTCGCGAGGCCACTTAGATAATTCGCAGGCAGGGGGTTTACGTAAGAATCGATCATTCTCCGACATCGCGAGAAATTTAATGGCTCGTGGCTGGTTACGCGCCGTACCCGATGGAGGAAACGAGCGAGAGATAGATAGAGGGGAACAGAGAGAGAAAGAGAGAGAAGGGTCGGGATCTCTCTCCCTCGTTACTATCGACAGATATACGATGTGGCTAGTCTCATCATGCGGCGTGATTTATTGCAGAATAACAGGCTCGCAGTGTCCCCTGCGCCCAGGTAAGGCGTTCTAACAATGTCCGGGAACACCTACGAATTAAGCGGGTAATAATGGCGAGGGCCTGGAACGGGGTGCGAGAAGAGGCCGGTGACCATGCCGTTTCTTCCCCGGTCGGGCTTAGACGATCGACTCGACGCCTTCCGAACGCGAGCACCGATGTTTTAGGATCGATTTTGCCCGCGGTGTGTTTACACTGCAAACACTCCGACAAGAATGCCGGCCTTGTAAGAATCCCCCTAATGTTCTCTCTCTTGACGCCTGACGAAATCCGTCGAGCGATTCCCTCGTTTTCTCTCTCTTTCTCGCGCGCTCTCTATTTCTAACCCGACTGTTCTTGCGAACAAAATCATTTTTGCGCTTGCATACAACTTTAATGTTCGACGTCTCGCGTGCCGCTCGAACTGCGCTTCCCGTGAAAGAAATAGATCTCGCATAATCTTCGCGCAAATCGTTTTTGTTTGTTAGTGCTACGTTCAATGTAAATTAACACGCTTTCTGCGTCCTGTGCGATCTTGCACGGCGAATCTTCATTTCGTACCGACATCGCTGTGAACGATCTATCCCGCGTATTTTCGCCAGTAACATTATTCGATCTTGTATCGTCTCTTGGCTTTTGTGTCCTTGCGTGATGAAGTTTTTCCATCCGTTACGAATTTGCCAATTTGTTGCGATTTTGTAACTCGCGTCTTGTGTAGCTTTTGTATTTTTCTCTATGTATCAATCACCCTCTCTCTTTCTCTCACTCACTCACTCACTCATCCTTTTCCTCTTATCCGCAAGATGAATGCGCTGAAGTATCGAGTTTACGCGAAATCACCGAGTCATCCGTGAATCAACCGCTAACACCTGTCTCCTACGCCTCCGCGTCGAAGAGGACGCGTCCGATCGCATGCTGTGTATTCGGGAATTCGGGACTCATTATCCGTCTCGTCGACGGCGTCCAGCTCGACGCCAGCCGCCGAACGTCGATCGATGGCTAAACGCGGATGTGTCAATTTGGGATATTATGCGGAACGCGGCGTGTAAACGCGCGCGCGCGCACGTCGAGGACGACGGTGGTAGACGCGAGGACGAACGTGCACGGGTGGCGGTGGGTAGCGGAGGCGGCGGCGGCGTGGAAGGGTAAGGGAATGGGAGGAGGGGGAGGGGGGAAGAGTGCGGGATGAGAGAGTCATAAAATCGAGCGAAGTGAACGCCAGGAGGGAGACACTGAGTGATGTCGGTGACAGCCGCCCGCCCTCCTCCTCTCGTCCTCCTGCAACCGCCTCCTGTCGCTATTACTCACCGAACGCCGAATACCATTCAAAGTTCGAAACCGCACGTTCGCGACCCAATTCCTACGCGGAGTCAGCTGTTCGGTTCATTCAAAGCTCGATCGAGCGCCGCCGGGCGCCTGGCGCCGAAACGCCGGCGAAATTATGAAAAAAGTAAAAAAAAAGTAATTGAAAAAAGAGGACGCGCGCGCGCGCGTGCAGTCAGTGTCGATCGTTTTGTTTACCGGGTAACCCTCCGCGCGAATTTATCCGCACGGAAGGCGAAGGTGGTGCGATACGGGGTGGTTGATGTCGACGCGATATTTCCTTCTCTCTCTCTCTCTCTCGGGCGGAATTCCTCGGTACAAGTAGGTGCGCCGCCGAATCTCCGATTATGCCGTTATTATCGTCTCTTCCGCGACTTTTGCGGAATCAAGGAATCCGAGGAGCGTTTAGGCGTCAGTAAAACCGGCACTTTGCCTGCTATCATACTGTATACGATACAGTACTGATTTGCTGGCGTGCGTGTATATGTGGGCGCTCGCACGTGTGCACGGTTATCCGTCACGTCGCGCGGTAAAATATAGGAAAATTTACACGAAACAGTACTTCGGCTACGGTAAATGCCGCGGAGTCCCCGTGCGTGGACGTTCGACACGCGCGCGCTGCGAATACCGGCGAGGGGCGTAGCTTCCACCGCGGATTTACGCGATCGTCGTGCGTGCGACCTTAATGTCTCGTCGTTATGCGCTGAACACGGCACTAAAGGGATAATTTTGCCCGTCAAGTATTCGTTATTCTCACATCGTGTCGCTCCGCCGATTAATCGTGCGACTTCCTTCGTCCGACGGCGAACGGCGTTCGGGCGCGCGCGCACCGGCTGGCGTGTGCCAAGTCGTGCGATTTACGAGCGTTTCGAAGGGTTTGTCTTGTCAAACGGGACTGTGAACGATGAAGAATCGTTCCCGACATCGATTAGAGCTTCTAATCTCGGTAAACCGCGAGACCGTTCGTTCTTCGTTTATTTATACATGGGACCGAAATTTTGGGAAGGGACTCGTATGTTTACAGCGGACTCAGGTAATTTTGCATATCAGGTAGGCGGGCGAGCGGGCAGATAGATAGATAAATAGATGCGAAGACTCAGGTCCGAGCTGGCGGTTTCACGTCTCTCGTGTAGAGAAACGGAGCGACGGATTCTCTGCCAAGAAACCGCTCGCTGACTGTCAGTTCCCGTGCTCGTGCCCGCTCGAGTATCTTCGGCTTGGCTCGCCGTGCGCGCAGAAGGGGAGTAATGCCGAAAGCGCGGTGTCAAAATGCGCGCTCGTCGTCCTGCGGGCGCGCGTCGATCACCGACGGCGGAATCTACGGGCGACGGTGGCTCGAGCGATGTTAGTTCCGAGGTCGAACGCATCAAGAGGTTCGTGCAATCATAACACTCGTCGCCACTCACGCACGGTAATTGCCTCCTTATGTCCACGTTATACCGAGGTTATACATGTAACAATGTAATTGATAAAAAAAATCTATCGGTTACAACAATGAATATCGCTAATACTATCGCTCAGGAACGCCTTCTCATCTTCCTCTCTTCACGTGAGATCTTTCGGGGCAACAATCGTCCCTCGGTAACGAAGCCAAAGGCGCGTGTAGGAACACGCGTATCCTCATTTTAGTCCCCGCAGCGGCCTCGTGAGACGGATGCGAGGGACACGCCTGGGCCTCGCCGCGCGGCAGCCTCGAATCCGAGCGACTAATGTGGAATTTCCCGTAGCATCGCGTGTATCTCTCGTTGCATTTCGCGGACGACGTTCTCCTCCGTTCTCGTATCCGTCCTAGGCTCGGCCGACGTCGTCGACGTCGTCGTCGTCGTCCGTTGTGTTGTTGGTAGTGGTGTAGCGATGGCGGAGGATCTCGTGTTTCGCGGTCTCGCCGTCGTGGCGCTGTACCCGCGCGTGCTTCGCCAGGTCGCGATGGGCGGGCCCAGGGGGCGCATTGGCCGCGTTTGGTAGGCGTGTCGGCGAGTCTCCCACTCCGCGACGTAGCGCGGCGCTGATTGACAGTTGGCGAACGACTGCGGACGGCGCAGGATCTAAAACCGTGCTAGGCGCTGCTCTCCACGCTCGCTCGCGCTCCGCTCGCTCTTCTCTTACCCGTGTGATCTACCCGGTCGCTTTTTCGTGGGGGAAACCTGAAACACGCATATACCCGTGGCTGCCTACGACCCGCTGCGCGCCCGCTTACGTGTAACACACTACGAACGAACCTACCACCTTCTCTGTCCGCCGGAGTTACGAGTGCCACACGCAGTAGTAGTCACGGTCAGGGAGGAGAGTCGCCCGCCGTCTCGCGGACAGCTCTCGCTGCGGTCTCCTCTCTCGACTCGCGTCCGTTCGTTCTTACGGTGATATCCGTATACCTCGTCGTGAATAGTAAACGTGTCGCGCGTGGTGTCCCATCACACTTTGTTGTCGTTCGTCGTTCTCTGCTACGTAGTACACGCGTTCGTGCCCCCCTCTCTCTTTTTCTCTCTCTCTCTCTCTCTCTCTCGTGCGCTCACTCGCTCTCCCCCCTCTCTCTCTCTCTCTCGTGCAATCGGTAGTTCTCGTAACGTAACCCTCGGTTCGCGCGCGTGATATCGCTTCGAAAACCGGCAACGCGACGTAAAGGCGGCAACCTCGGAGATACGTATCGTGGCATTGTCGCGGTGGCAACGTCGCCGCCACTGTGTGTGTCTTTGCGACTTTGCGCGCGCGGTCGCTCGTTCGTCGTCGCGTAACCTCGCCGGAGTATCCGCTCGAGCACAACATCGGTTGACTGTGCGACGGTGGTGATCGACATCAGTGCTCGCGCGCCATTGACGCCCGTCGTCGTCGCCGTCGTCGGCGGGGCGTCATCGTGGCTTCCACGTTCTCGTGCTGTAATGCGGTGTCGTTAACTGGAGGATGTAACGTGTTCCCCGTCAGTGACATCATCGGTGATCATCGGTTGTTTATGTGCTACGACACACAGTGATCGAACGACAATACAGGAGAGAGAAAACGCCGCGACGCGCCGTATGTGAATGTGTCAAGTACACGGAGAGTGGCAGGAACGAAAACACGACTCGGCCACCCATCCTCGCCTCTTCCTCCGGAAGCCACCGACCGAGAGGCAACCGCGCGCCGTCTCGATGCGGCGCGTCCGGCTCGCGGGCCTCGCGATCACCGCGCGCGCGAACTAGATGCATCCCCGACGACGCCGCGTCGTCTGCCGAGAGAGAAGAAGAAGAATCGTTCGGAGCTCGTCGTCGAGCCTCGTCGTCGGCGTAGTACCTGCCCCGACGACACGTGGCCCCCCCGCGCGAGATATGCGGCATTGACGAGCGCGGGTGTTCTCCTGCGAGAGAGACTTTGCCTACGTTTCCTGGACGTCCGAGGCGAGGACGTGTTGCCGCGACCTACGACGATGATAATGTGGAAGCACGTGTGCCCGCTTGCAGACGTCGTCGCCGTGATTCCGCTGCTATCGCTGCGAGCGCTCGCCGTGCTCTGCTGACGCTTGTCCGCGACGTTCGTCCGTGACGATTCCGCGTGGGCTGTTGCCTAGCTGAGAGTGCGACGTCGCCGGAGCGAATAGAGGAGAGTACAAAGGGAAAAAGGGACAGAAGAAAGAAGAGAATCTGCGCGACGATTGTCCCGAAAGAGAAAGGAGGGGACGGAAAGACAACAGGAGCTACATTTGGCCGAGACGACTGCTGGTCTACCGACGCAGCTGGGAATCCATTCTGACCGGCTCGTTGTTCTTCACCGAACGACGTACAATTTTCGTGAAAGTCCGAGAGAGTCACGCAGCGTGTCGAAGCGTTTTTAGGCGCGTCGAACGCGCGTACAACAGTGCCGGCGAAGTGTTGTGAAGTGTCGAGGCTTGCTTCCTTATACTGTGGGAAAATACAGCCGCTACGGTGGCTCAGCACGCAGAGTTCCCCGGCGCGGCCAGGGCGTTCATGGCGCAGCCAAGGGTATGTTTCGTATGTTGCATGCTGCCGTTTCTCGGTATTCTCTCGCGAAATCGGCCGAACGCCGATGAACCGCGTCTAGATTCGAAGTGCTGACAGTTTCGATCTTTAGCTTGTTGTGTACGCGGGACCGAAGTGTCGGGGAACGCGTATCGGGATGAGGAAGTAGTTCGGCTGCCTCTTTTTACGGAAACCGTCGCGCGTTGTTGTTCGTTCCCAGTGACGGGAACGAGCGATTTTGAAGTAAGCGAGGAAGCGCGTCTCGCGAAATTTCCTAGAGTTTGATGCAGCGATATGATTCAGGTATTCACGGTCGTTCGCGAGTGGCCCCCTAAGAGTGTCTCATTTTTCTCGTATTTCCCGAAGTGAAACATCAGTCGTTCGTGGCGAAAATCTTACGCTGCTCAAATGCCTCGTATATTAATTAGAAATCTCATGTGTTGAAAATACCCGGAAAGGTCGACGGGAGGTGAAAGGTTTCTCATTCTCTAAAATGGGCAAGTGTCGTCGGTTGTGTTGAAAGCGCTCCGCGTAATTCATTCGTTCGGCCGTCGGAAAGAGATTAGTTCTTCGCGCGGAGACCGTCCTGCTATTTTGTCCACGGGGCAACCCCGAAAGTCATCGCCTCGCGCGTGAATTTGTAAAATAGTGCTTCTCTTTCTCTCCTCTCACTCCTCGCTTCCAAAGAGCCGGTCGTTCGATCTTAGGCGCTCCGCAGCTGGTGGATTTGAATTGAATATCGTCGCCGTGTCGAAAGGAAATTTACATATAGGCCGCGACGCTTTGTAACGCCGCTCACATCACGCCGCCGGAGACAGAGGACGACGTCGCACAAAGAGGACTGCATTTTTCGGCCGCCTCGTCGTATGAGCGAGCGAGCTTTTCATTTCGCGCGAAATCCGAGCGAGACGCGCTTGAAAGAAAGAGATAGAACTTCAAGGGAAACACGACGGGAGTGGAGACGGATTCGTGTTTACGGTGCGCGCTGATTACACATCGTAATCGGCGGACGACTTTGACCGCGCGCGTAATTACAGCCGATAATCGTAACACAACACCGGGGAGTAAATTTCCTCTGACCTCGATTGAGTGTGTCGCGACTTCGCCGCTGAATAGTCGCGCGAGATCAATGGGATCCGAATAGAGATCGTCTAACGAATGTTCGTTACCGAGATCAGCCCGTAGAATCCTCGCGGATTTCGAATGCGTATTCTCGCGGAATATTTGATCCCGCTGCGATCTCTCCGTTATTTGGAAGAATGCGTTAGCTCTCTCCATTTCTCGATTTTCTCTCTTTCGGAATTATGTGTCGCTATCGGAAAATATTCCGTCAGATCACGCGCGGAGGACAGGAGTGCGCGTTGATCTCGTACTGTCGTGTCGCGATGACAAACGCGTGTGCGAACACTTAATTGAAATAAACGCGTCGACGTTCCGTTGTTGTGCTCAATGATGAAAAGGCGTCGCGACTCCGAAACGCGTTTCCATTCACCGAGCCTCGTAATGTGCAGCGTAACGTAACTTTTAACGTGTCAAACGCCGTTAGGCCAACGCTGTTTCTTCGTGGTTACGTTAACGCAATAAATAATCGCGAAATTATTCCGGCGATACGTGATCGCGTTAATTGAATTAAACCGCCGCGAACTCGCGCTCTTTGCAATTCAACAGCGCTGACAGTGACAGGCACACTAATGTCGTATCGGCCACAAAGCTTAAGGCACTGTAATAAAGTGAGAAAGATACTTTTTGTTACTCGCATAGTTATTATCTGTACGGTATAAGCGTCATTCGCCGAAAAGATTCGAAGAGATTGGTATATTGATTAGCATCAGCGAATTTTTTCACATACAACTTTTACACACAACTCTTCCCGTCGCTGATCAAAATCTATTTCGCCTTTCGTATCATGCGCGCGTTATTTTTGGCTTTGTAAAAGTGCGCGAAAATTGTCACCACTTCAACGCCGAAATTTCCACTCGAACCTTGAACTTCGTCATGTTAGAGAATTTCCAAATAGAGCAGATGTAGTCCGAGTTTTACACTACGAGAAGTCCTCGGACTTTCCTTTGACCCTTCGAAACAAAAAAAAATATGTTCGCCCTCCGATTGAAGTCTATATCGGAGAGACGTCAGTTATCTCTCGTGAAATGCCGCCGACGGGTGACAGAGTCCGCGTGAAATGCCAACGACGGGATCCGTGCGTGAAACAACGATCGCTGGTAAACGATTCTCGCTCGAAGCTTTACGTCCGATCGTCGCGCGCGTTCACAGTGGCGAGATCTTTTTGACGGGTGCTCGTCTCGTCGTCATCGTCGTCATTGTTTTCGAATCGACGTGCACAGAGTGTCGGTAGCTCGCGGTCGGACGCTCGGGGTTACTTCTTTTCGAGATATTTCGTTAATCGGCCTTCCTGACACTTGTGGTTTCTTGTTCACGCGACGGACTTCGTCGGACAATCATCGCCGACTGAAGTCTACTTCGTTTCCCGTGACAGCCACTTTCGCGAAATAATTTCAAGTGATCTCTCGCGATTTCTCCTAATACTTGCCGTATCTCCGGTAAAATCGGCGTCTATCTGCGGGAAAACACAAACGCGGTATGTTTAATTTAATTTAATTAGTGCGGTGTCTGTTCTCGCGCGTGGCATCATATCCGACATCGTTGCGCTGAGATCGTTATTGCACTTCGAGCCACTGTTAATTAATTAAATCTTCCAAACTTACCGATCTTGCTATCTTGAAGCGTTAAAGTTGCATATCCCTAATTAATCGGCACTAAATATATTTGCGAATAATTCATGATTAATATATTTCTGAATGATACATTAAGTTAAATAGCTTTAGTACGCGCGCGTGTATGTGTGTTTTATTATATACTATAGACTATACATATATCATAGTACACTCGGTCGCGCGGTTACTAAAGTGTTACACTTGCATATCACTTTCGTTGATCCGTTAATTGCCACTCCACATGATCGCGTGATGCGTTTCTGGCCGTCGGACGCGTTCAATGTACTCCTTTCTCGTCGCGTCTCGGTTAACACCTTTAAATATCGAGGTCATTACGCGAGTCAGTAAATTAATTAACATTAATGTAGCGTCAATGCTTTAGGAGTATTTTCTCTTTCTCTGTCTCTCTTTTTGCTCACCTTTTCAGCACTCCCCACAGCGTGTGTGTGCGAGGGCCGCGTGCGAGGGCGCAAAATACTCTCAGTGGATTCGTTTCCAGCGAAAGAGTTGACGATTAAACGGCGACCGCGCGCTTGACACTTCTCGACGATCATCCGACGCGTGGCGTTAAACGGGTCGTATTGATTCCGATAACTGGCTCCGTGCGAAATGCAACACTCGCTCGCCGATAACTGCTTGCGTGTTTACGCGTTTCGCGTGTGTCATCGCGATGCGCGCGCGGCTTGTAACAAAGTGACGAAAGTAATAGAATATAATTTAGATTCTCTCTTTGCTCCACCTCCCTTTCTCTCTCTCTCTCTCTCTTTCTTCCTCGATCAAACGTCATTCCCGTTCGTTCTGTGTATGTTGTCGATTTTTATCCGTTTTACTTCTGGCAGCGATTAAAATTAGCTATTTTGTCATTTTAACGACCACAACTTACGATACAGTAAATCGAGAAAAATGCATTTCTCACACGATTGTGTATGTGTGTGCGTCATATTTTTCTATTGCAATGAGTAAACATCGGCGTTTTGGTTCTCGAGGTGTTAATTGAGTTTCGCCGCGTAAACAGTTCCGAGTAAGCCGCGTATAATGAGTATCGGTGATTTCGGTGCAAATAACATGTTTGCGTCCGGCGCAACGGCGTCTCAATCGCGGCTGGATCGTTCCGAAGGGCCGGGCGCGCGCGTTTTACCGCTCAATTCTGTCCCGTATCGGCGGCGGCGGTCTTGCGCTCGCAAAATTGCCGAAACGTGCGTGCGTGCGTGCGTGCGTGTTCGCTGCCCGTCTGCTTACTACCTGCCTTGCCTCGGTCTGCTCGTGTGAGTCGCGAAACTCTTTCGCGTGCACCGCGTCCCGCGGAGAATTCGCCGGGACTCGCGATTTCGTATCGACGGAGAAAGCGCTCGGTGAAGAAGCTTGATCTTTGACAGGTGAATTTTACGCGGCCCAACGCCCCTCGGGATTGCGAAATATTATTCACGGGACACGATGAATATTCTGTTAAGCGCGGACGCGGCGCGACTCTGCGCGCCGCAAAGAGAAAGAGAGAGAGAAACCGTCAGAAGGAGACGAGTCAGCCGAGAACTTCGAATCTCGTCGTGAATGACGACACGTATCGAGAATTCAAGTGGCCGCGGACGATACGATAAGCATCGCATTCATCGGGCATTATGCGGTTTCACCGGCTTTTAATTTTATTTACTCCCAGGGTTGTAATATACGGACTGTTCCGGAACTATCGGTACACGTACCTGTTTCAACGACACGCGGAGGTTAGGTTAAGGTGAATAAACATATGATCGCGTACAGATTGAACTCTTCGAATTTCTACATAACGCCTCGCTCTTTTCCCCTTCATTTCTTCAACAAAATCGTTGAATATTAAAGTCTCTTTCTGCCCAGCCGATTTATATGAAAAAATTTCGAGTCGTGAAGAAGGGAAGGGGAAAAAGCTTTGTTGGGGGGGGGGGGAGGTTTTATTCTTTCCTCTCCTTCCATCCGTTTCCCGAATTTTTAATACTTACAAAGTTTCCATATTGTATCGTAATCGCGTCCGGATCTCGTTTTCGCGTCGATCAGTGAGTCGCGAGGCGCCAGAGAGAGTTGGGCGACGGCATCTCTAAGAAGGGCGACGAGGGGAAGTAAATGCCTGGTAGGTTCGTTTCGCACGAGCAACGAGCATTAGGATCCGCGAGGAAAGGTGCGGAAAGAGGCGGCGGCGGGCTCGGAAACGCGTGTAACGCGATAGCGCGTTTCGGATTAAAAATTCCGACCGTGAATGGCGGCGCTCGTCGACGACGAGGTGTACCCGATTTTTCGTCGTTC